CGAGGTTTCTTCCTGAGAAATCGGACTCTTTACGAATTGTGGGAAAATAGTTCCTCACCTGGTGATCTCAAACCCTCATGTCGCATCTCCTACCCAGAAATTCTTCTTGTTTTTAAGGGCTCGCTTAATAACATCGCTGTTTAAACAATTTAACACTGGCCGCGTCACACATTTCACTGTCGAAATACAGGACAAACACCAAAACGCACGTGTCCATGGCAAAAAGACAATATTTACTTTTACGTGAAATTGATCAACTTCACGTTCCGACCGCTTTGTCACCAGACCTGATCTGGTGGTTGCAGGAATCGAGCCCCTGCCGTCCATCTGGTACTGAGCTATTTCACCAAGTTCTCTCGCCTTTTCCGCTGTTAATCATCGTTTCGTCACCGCCTGACGCGGTGAACGAGAGCCCTGACCGAGCAGCTCATCGTCATACCCTCTTGTATAGTTAAGTTATGGGCTCTCCATCTCTGACCTGCCATTTGGCTGGTCGCGAAGTAAACCTGCTTTAGTTTTTGTGAAGAGATCGAAAAACGTTTCACACGAAAGATGCATCCTCTAATGGGACGAACATTTTTTATATCGCACTTTGCATTATTTTAGAGAAAAATACAGTCAAACGCTGTGGTTGGATATTCGCGTACAAAACATATTTCGGCCCGTATATATTACGCTAAAGCTTTGTTCAGGTGTCGTGTGTGTTGGTTATTCCCCGTACCATATGGAAAATTTCTGTCATGCTACCAGTTGAGGAAGACTTTGTCATCACCGCCGGCCTTGCTGTTGTTTCGCCCATCTACCGAACGCGGCCTTGGCTTTGCGGAAATCACGTAGCACCACGTGGGAGATTTCTGCTACGAGCTTCGTCTGGGCGGAATTATTTCGTTCGAAATCGATTTTCGGGAACTGAGGGCTTTCAGGAGGAACCTAAGCGCATTTGGCTATAATTTCACTCGGATATGGTTGCTTTGGAATCGTATTTATATCGTTTCCGTTATCATATCACATGAAATTACAACTTCAAAAGCAGTCATATTTAACATGTGGAAACCCTAAATTTAAAAATAATTCTGAAATTACTTGCATATAATAATATACATTTAAACCCAAGTAAACACGGAGTTGAATAAATACAGGGCTATTGTGGCCAGAGAAGGGGGAGGCATGCGATATTTATTAAAATATCTGAGGAACTGAGTGCGTTCATGACTGTTACAAGGCCTATTTTACCTGATTAAGAACATCTGTCTCATCATGTATACTTCCCGTTTCCGGGCGATACTTTATGTCATTGTTGACGTTTTCTGAAGGTATTGTAGTCCCATCTCGGATGCCATCGCTTTGATGTTTTCCAGATCGGTACAAAGCAAGAAGAACTTTCGTCGCAAAACCACACGTCAAAGAATTCCACGTGATAATTCAAGGCAATAAAATATGCATTTAAAAATTGCCGGATTTCTGTTCTCCAATCATGTGTATAGCTTTTGTCGGTATCCAGTAATGAACTCGGGCGCTTGATCCAACCAATCGGGCGTCTTCTTTGATGTGCGCTTGCGCCGGCCGAAGAGTCAGCCATGTTACGACGGCCCCATCATGGCGTGTAGCCAGGAGGGGAACGAGTGCGGCTGTGTTGAGAAAATGTATCAGTGATTAAATTTATAAGTGAAGTTATTGGTGAAGTGTGTGTTAAGTGTGCAAAAGGTTCGAGTATTTGTGAATATGGCGTTAGAATTGCGACTACACAGTCCAGCAGGGGCAGAGCCTGTTATGTATCAATGGCCCCTTACCTCCGGAACTGGCTCGGTAAGTTCGTGGTTGATTGTGCTTGCCGAAGGAAGCCCAACAAACGCTAATGAGAATAGTACAGTGTGAACAGGGAAAAAATATAGGAACGCGTCCGTTATAAAGCCTTACTGTTGTAATTCATAACTTTAATGATAGTTGGAGGAGTATCAGGTGTATAGGTGTTCGTAAATCGATGTACAGCATTATCTTCGGCTCAGTCTGTAGCGCATACCAGCACGCCTGCCTGCACTAAAGGGTGAAGGGCTCGAAACGAATAGGTCGGGCCAATCTAATGACCCGATGACTGCCAAATATGCATTGCTTTGTGTGAAGGTGATTTATATTACGTCGCATCGCAATGGCTTCAAGCTGATAGAACGAACTTAACACTCGAAAGTAGGTCATGCACTGATAAACACATCCAAAGCCAATAAACGCAAAGTCTTGTGCAGATTCGAATAACGGAATAGGAAAAGAAGAGTCATATTGCACAGCATTTTTGAAAAATGCGGTTGACCTAAATACCACTTACTTACCGTGACACAACACCGAATAGTGTTGATGGTTTTGAACACAGCATACATCGTGTTTGTGTTGTGAAACAGTGTTAACAGTTAGCAAAGTATTTGTCACGAGGTTGAACGTGGAAACTAATTGTGGTGTTTTGTTGCAGGATAAACATGATGGAGCCCTTGAAATCGTGGAGACTATAAGGTAAATCCCAATTTCATTGTCATGTTGCTGGGACTTCCCCATTCAGCAATGAGTTTAATGTGGTAGTGAAAGCCTTGTAGTATATCGTGTTTTCAGTTTCATTAACGCTTCCTGTCTTCCATTTCTCTGTGAACATTGATTGTGAATATTGAATATAGAATGAAATGCAGAAAGTTATTGAAATTGTAAGTCACCTGATGGTTTTCTATAGGCAGAAGATCAAATATAGAGATCTCAGCAGTTGTAAATAACCAGTGTAGTTGGGTCTAGTTTATTCACATGGCATATGAATTAATTTTTAGTACTTCAGTTAATTGATTGAGTGGTCTTCATTCGCTTATCTTCTGTTCGTGTATTTTCTCGGTCTCCTTCGCAGACAGGTGTGATAGACGCGCCCAGCCTATGCAGTTGTTAAAGCATCATTAAATAACGTGTAGATAAAAATATGAACTTAATAGAGGTTGTGTCTTGCAAATTTCACATGTTTGGAATCTGTAATAATGGAAATGATTACAGAATTGTGCAATCATTGATTTAGTTTGTGCTGGACTCACCGTGCCCATTGAAAGATTTAAAGGGGCAAAATGAATGTAAGTTCCTCCCAAGACTTCTCATGTAAACACTGACACACCCCTCCAGCTAAACTTTTACCCTACATGTGTTGATTGTTTTGGGTGAATGGATGGAAGTTTCTTGATTTTAGTTGGAAGATATTTGTCTTCTGTTTTTCAGATTCGTAAGTTGCCAAATCAGAATCTTTGTCTGTCTATGCTCCAGTGGTGGTGTTCAAACTTTAAACGCAGTTGTGGCTTGCATGCTGAGTGTGTTGTGTAGTCGTTGGTTTGCGATGATACAGCACATTATAACAAATTCTTCTGTGACAGTGGACTGCTGCGTGCGGTTGGCGACGCGAGGTTGTGCTCAGTTTTCCTGCTTCTTGTTTGCTAGGTTCAGGATACAAATCTCAGCCCAGAGACCAGCTGTCCTAACCTTGTCTTTGTGAGGTTTTTTTTTTATTCTTCCAGGCATTTTCTGGAATAGTATCTTAAAATATGTTGTAAATTCCATGGTTACTGAAACACACTTAACAAATTCCGCTTGCTGATGGTCTCGTGGTGTTTTCATATTGATATTTTTGTAAGCGGTGTTTACAACTCAACATTGCAAGCAAAATTGTTACATTATTTAATTTATTCTGTTTATTCTGTACATGATAATGAATAATTGAATTACTATGTTTTAATAAAAGTGAAAATACACTTGCCTGTGATCTCTCTTAACTCTCCTGTAGAGTGGACAAGCTTGTTTCTGGAACTGTCTTGTTTGACATTCACAGTTGGGAAAGCGTAATTAAACGAGCAGGGAAACAAATCGACTCTCTTATTGGTTGAAGTGTGGGACGGTTTTGTGATTCTGAAAGACTGATCTGTAGAAATCCAGCTGTTTCATGGACCTTGCCCCATGGCACGGGTCAGATAATGGCCGGGCCACGCGATGGTCCGTCTGATACGCGATTCTAGCAGGGCTGCTGAAGGGTTTGTTGACCAATTTGGCAGCGGTTTCCAATGCTTTGGAGCTTTTCCTAGTCTTTTCTTGTCAGTGGCCTTGGGTATTTTTAACCTAAGGGAAGTCAGGTGGGAGCCATCTGGCGGCAGTGTTACACATTTGTAAGTGATCTCATTTGTAGTTGTTTGTGCCAGATAGGAAGTGATTTGAAGATGTTGCTGCAAATGTTGTGGAGAACATTTCTTGTCATCGAGAGTTTATCTGGTATGAGAAAAGAGGCCAGATTGTGGCATAGGAATGTTGGTACTCATGGAATGTGTGGCTCAGATGGGGAAACAAGAATTACACATGGATTATTTATGGAGAACCTGAAAGGAAGTGTTTTGTAAGAAGGGATGATAATATCGAAATTGATTTTAAAAATGGTAACTGATAATACTGGATAGGCTGAACGTGATGGAAAATATAAAAATCAGACTGTAGCCTCTACCCAGTCGTGTTAGTGACTTTGCTGTCTCTGCTGATTGAAATGTTTGTGGTAACTGACCCTGTGTCTAAGCACCCTGTCAGGAAACTGTGTACAGAGGGCATCGCAGATTCTAGACGAGATGAAGTCCGTGGTCTGCCCCGCTGCGTGTCCCTACTTCGAGCTCAGATATTAGTAAGTTTGATGGGCCCAGAGCAGGTGTCGCACCGTGGTTGCGGATAGACGCATCCCAGACCTTCGCCATTCTGAACCACAGCCTTCGAGAATGTTGTGTGAGGATTTCATTCGCAACTGCGTTGTTAGTCATGATACTAAGAAGGAATGGGTCTACTCATCATCTGGAGCTTTTTGTGTGTGTGTGTGTGGGGGTAAACATTAAGGGGGCTGTGATGAATCATAGTGGGTCCTGTGTGGCATGCTTCAGTGATGCAGATTTCATATTGGCACAACTATTGAAGCTCGTCATCACGGTTCTGGGAAGTGTGGGTGACCGTTCCCGGTATGTGACGTGGCATTTAGTTCTTTCGGGGGTTTTGTTAGGTGAAGGGGGTTTTTTGGGGAGTTGTGATCAGTGTTACTAATCTTGGCTTCAGGCTCCAAAATATCTAGATTAAATAAAATAGATTGAAGGCTTGAATTGTGCATCAAAAGAGAGAGAGAGAGAGAGAGATACTGCCAGTTTAATTTTGTCATATTTATTTTCTCGGCAGCACAAAGTAAAAATAGTTTCCTCTTGTGCTGTTGCTATTTCGTTAGCAGGGAAAGGACTGGCTGAGCACGTCCGACGTTGCATGGACGTAGCACGTAAAAACATACTACAGATTTTGCTTGAAAAAATTCATCTTTGTAATTACAAATGTATCAGTGAACACATCTTTGAGGCATAAATTTTGCATTTAGGGACAAACAGCGTTTTAAGGTTTTCCGATGTTCCCGGCAAATACAGCAATCGCTGTCTTTAGGGCAAGATGGCAGGTGTAGTGTTTTCAGAAGTGTTTCGGCGCTGCCCATCCCTGAAAGCCTAAGAATAAGAAGAATGTACCTTCATGAATTAACACGGTTGGAATCTGTGCTGATTGGAACGACATTCTCGGATGTGTCGCTGAATTATGTTATAATTGTATTATTAATTTAGTTTTTGTGGCCTGATTTAACACATTTATAGGAGGGAGTGGATGACAGGTTCTTCCCAGAAGTTGTTAAACATTGAACCGTGCTCGCAGCCAGGTGTGCAGTGATAATGGTTTGAGGGGTCACATGGCCTTATGGGGGATAAGCCTTTAGAAACACAGGCCTGTCATGGATGAATGTCTATCTTATCTTAACAAGAGAATTGTTGATAATGTGACTAACTGTTCTGTTAAATGAAGGTTCTTTAGTAAAGAGTATCACCAAGGCCTGCTATGATTAGTGGGTATTAAACCATGATGAATCAATTATCATTACCTGCTTTTGTTGAATGGTGATAAGAGGATTTCATGAGAACTTAATTCACGTCTAACTGAACCTGGGGATGATTTTTATAGCATAAGTCGGGTTTGTGTGTGTGTGGGGCACTTTTTCGCATGAGCGTCCCATCGACGTTGATGAATGTAACGTTCAGAAGTGTGCTGTTATGCCACCTCAGAGATTTGCACTGTAATTATGTCGTGCGGGGTTGCACTTGCATGAATCTTGATTTTTGTAACTTAATAATTCACAATATGACGCAATTATATCAACTTTTGTAACTTACTTGGTGTACTGGTGTTAGTTTCAGGTGAGGTTAGGGATGAGTTCTGATTTCCAGGCTTTCACTCCACGTAGCAGATGGAGTCTGTCCTTGAGAAACAAACTGCCATTGCTTGGTCAAACAATTTACTCTCAGGTTTCTGACTGTCTTCAGAAGGGCCCTTGATGGGACCCTGGCCCGAAATTAGTGTGTCTTTGAATGTGATATTTCATTGTTGTCACAAAAATGGACGAATACACTCTTTATACGTGTCTTGTGATTCGTTAGCAAGTCATTGTTGAGATATCGTAGTTTGAAATACAGAGGGCTCTGACTGTTTCTGTGTTTGCTACGGAATAATCATGAGCTGTAATTTATAGCCTGTGATTTATGTTGAAATGATTCTTGACTTGTTAATTTTACAGAAACCGTCCCCATAAAAGATAACGTTATCTTCCTTAAACGACTTTGATTTCTAATAACACAGTTAATGCCAGTGTTAATCTGGAGCAGGCTAGATCTGTGGTAGCATTTTTGCTCTTACGAAGGTGGTCACGGGTTTGAATCCTGGTCGAGTGCAGCTGCCACGTTATTGTTTTACGTTGTACAAATAAATGGCATTCTCCAAAGTTTTGTGTTTTTGAAGATGTTATCACACATCGCCCATCACACGTTCGTTCGTCGGCCATGTTGGTATTACCGATTGTCGAAGGGGGAAAATGTCCAGTGGCGGAACGTTCATACCAGATTACGTCGAATAGAGCCGGGTAGAAATGCGTGGCAAGCCCGTATATGTGCATTCATGCAAAGGACGCATCGAAACACACGAGCGATTGTGAAATTGTCTTGGTGCTAAAACGCGGGCCCTTACATAAGACAGGTGAACTGTGTGTGCGTGCTTTAACCGTCGGTGCGTGCGTGCATTACACTGGCGCCTACTCGGCAGACTGTTTAGAACGTCGTACATTGCAGCTGCCTGAGTACCTGATATCTGCTCAGCTGGCCAAATTGCTCTGTTTTACGGAACACCAAATTCACAACACCCCGTCCACCATGCCTTGGTCTCCGCGCGAGGCCTCCTCACCTTTGAGGTTCGCGAATGGAGATGTAGGAGGATGTAATCGTCATTTAATTGTATCCGTGGCGTCAGACGCGGTCTGGGGCCCCAGTGAGCCTCTGTCCATTACGCTCCGGTGCAATTTTCCGGGGGGGACGGAGTAAAGCAGCCGGAGCTCTAGGCTGACGGAGTGTTGGCCTTGGAGGTTCATATCGATAGTGCGTGTGTCGTAACGCGAA